TCCTCAGCCTCCACCCGCTGGATCGTCTGTTGTGTCCTTCAGCTCCCAGTACACTGAGGCCGAGACGCTAACCGCAGCCAATGGATTGGGACACCTTCAGAGTGACAGCTCAGGGACCCAACTGATTTGGGAGCGCATGGAACGTTGCCACTCAAAAAGAGAATTATATATAAGGAGAGATATTGTTATGACCTATGGTCAATACAATAAACTGAAACTCCTGCTGCATAGATGGGGACACTTCAGAACCTCCCATTTTTCATTCTCCTGCAACACTGTGACATAAAACACAGCACTTGTCAGTACCCTTCTCTGTCTCATTTTACCTGTGACCTTTGTACTCTGATAGTACCGAAGACAAGTTCATAGTTAATGCTGACCCCACATGTGTAGTGTGCAAAAGTGTCAACTGCATGGGGAACCTCATCATTTGAGGACTTGCTTTACTTCCCCTACCATCCAGGTCTTACTGAGTTTTGCAGGTAAAACATCTTTAACATTTCTAACAAACATCCGAAGAATGATCAGTCCTCTTAATTTAAAGAACAGGAACTGAGAAGAGTCAAGTAAGTGAACTACCTTATCAATACTGACTGGGTATTTTAGACACTGGTTGCAGACTAAAGGATTGTCAGGTTTTTATCTATATATCTAATTCCCAAACATCTAAATCAGCACATTGGGGGCACTTGGGAGGCAGGGAGGTTTTCCTGCACATTTGGGACAATCCACATATGTGCAGAAAAATCTGAAAACTTGGAAAAAATATGTGGGGGATATTTAAATCCCCCCAAAAGTAAAAGAGTGTTCCCTGCAGGGAACGCTCTGAGAACAGCTTCGCCACCGCTGACAGGGAGGGAGAGGGGGAGGGGGCAGGAGAAGGCTTGGCCGGCTGGTGGCTGTAAGCCGCTCAGGCCTCGCCGCCACCCGGTGGGGGGAGAAAGTTTGGCAGACCGCGCTCAGGCCTTGCCACCACTGGGGGGGAGGGAGGGAGGGAGAAAGTTAAGCAGGCTGGCCAGGCCTCGCCGCCACCGCTGCTAGGGAAGGGGGGAGGGAGAAAGCTTGGCGGGCTGAATTTAGGCCTCACCGCCGATGCTGGGGGGGAAAGAGGGAGAAGGCTTGGAGGGGCGCGGGCCTCACCATGGGTGCCGGGGATGGGGGGGCAGGGGAGAAGGCTCACCTGTGGCTGCTTCCTTCTCCTCCTGTGAAGCTTCTCTCCCCCCCCACAAGTATCATGGGTTCCCCTTCTTGTAAAATTCTAAACTGCTAAATATTGAAGTTGTCAATACATTATTGTGCAACTTTTTTTGTAAACTCAGTTTAAATGTTGGTTTAATGATGTATAAGTTTATCTCACACTCTTTTTGTTTGTAATGTTTTATTCGTGATTCATTATGTTTGTTAAAGTTCTGAAAATTCAATAAAAATTAAATTGGAAAAAAAGGTAAGCTGCTCCCGCATGTATTACAAACATATCTGACAAAGGGGGCTTTGACTCTTGAAAACTTATACCCCCAAAATCTTCTTGGTCTCTAAGGTACTACTGGAGTTAAATCTAACATGTGTTGCAGGGATTAGGGCTGCCAAGTCCCCCGGGGGAGCAGGGGTTTGCTCGCTCGATGGGCCCCTTACCCACTGGCCCGGATCCAGCTGCCGGGGGGAACTCCAGGATCAGCTGTGGCCAATGTACCTCTTTAAATGCCTCCATCACCAAGGCCGTGGCCTCTTCCCCTGCCTGCAGCAGTTGCCAGCTGGGGGTGAGTAAGTCTCCATCCCAGACCCGGCCATGCTGGATCAGATCCAGTTGCTTACCTATGGACAGCCATCAGACTGAAGTGTCAGAGAAGTTGAATATGCAGAATAGGAATGCACTATCCTTCTCTTGCTATTAATCTCCAAATTCTGGTAACAAATCTTTGAAAAAGGAGGTTGTCTGTGAGATACCATGACAAGTGGTCACTGGTGGACCTACCTACCTGTAGTCATTTAATTTTTTCATTGTCCATTTATGTTTACTGCAGTAGCAGAGATCAATGAAACAGATGCAGTGCTGATGTCTGATTAGTAGTATTTTATTTATTTATTTATTTTCCAGATTTTTTTTACCCTGCCCTCCCGGCCAGAGCCAGCTCAGGGCGGCTTACATAAAAGCAGATAGTTACATCAAAAATATAAGTTGCAATTAAAACAAATTATAAAATCATAGTAAAGTGATAGTAGCTGTTGGTATTCGTATGATGGTAGCAGCCAGTATACAAAGTTCTCAGCTTGGAGTCAGCTCTCAGTGTTCATTTGGAATGTCCTTGCAGGGCTTGCTGTTCTCTAGGCTGTTGATGGCAATTGCCAGAGTCCAGGGCCCTCTCACTTTCAACCAACCAATGTTCTTCATTGGTGGTGGCGGCTCCCAAAAGCCTGGTGAAAGAGCTCTGTTTTACAGGCCCTGTGGAACTGTAAAAGGTCCTGCAGGGCCCTGATCTCCTCCGGGAGCTCATTCCACCAGTATGGGGCCACCACCCAAAAGGCCCTGGCTTTGGTCGTTGACAGCCTAGCCTCCTTAGGGCCCGGGAAGGCAAGCTGACTCTGGGCCCCTGACCGCAGTGCTCTCTGGGGAACATGTGGGGAAAGGCAGTCCCTTAGGTATGTAGGTCCCTGACCATGTAGGGCTTTAAAGGTAAGAACCAGCACCTTGAAACGAATCCGGTATGCTATCGGCAGCCAGTGCAATGCCTTCAGCACAGGCTGTATGTGCTCCTGCCTAGGAAGCCCCATCAAGAGCCTGGCCACAGCATTTTGCACTTCCAGATTTGAGATAAGGGCAGCCCCATGTAGAGAGCATTACAGTAGTCCAATCTTGAGGTTTGTACATAATTTAAATAGTTCCAGTCCCAGGGTATGGCTCAGTGGTCTAAGCAGGTGTGGATCATAAGAAAAGGTCGGAGGGAAAAAATGCCCTGAAACAGAAAAATATATTCTGTGCAAGAGCAGAAGCTTTGCTGTAGAATATAAATCAATTTAGAACATGTATCAGTTAGGCAAATTTGTATTTCAGACTACAGGTTGAATCCAACCAGTTTTTCAGAAGAAGGTCTCTTCTGACCACCAAAAAGGCTGTGCTGGGGAATCAGGGAACCTGCACACACAAAGGGCACGTGGTATGGTATCTGCGGTAAGGAAAGCAACAAGGCAAGGATTGCATGAAAAAGCTGGCTGGATCAAACTATGATCTGTGGCTTTATCACTACAAATCACCTGTCTCTTTTTCATCTTATTCTGCTTGGGTAAAACAAGGCAGAGCTGGATACCTCCTTCACACTTGTCAGCAATAGCAAAGCCTCAGTGAATAACATGTGTGCGCCTTTGAGACGGTCTCTTATTGTGTAAAAGCGCCATCTTGTGAGCAAACTGAGCTAAAGGACAAAGCAAATGTGATGGGAGGGAATGACATCTGTGGGATTGTAATGGGATTCATTATAAATAGCTAAAAGCTAAAAACTTAGCTAAAAGCAAGGCTGCTTAGATGTAATTGTTTAGAGAGAGAAAAAATCCCCGTTGGAGAAAATCAACCTTTCTTATCCTGAAAACAATTCTAGATGTGGAAACAACGAGTCCCAGTTAAAACAGAGGATTACATCCCAGCTGAAGCATTGTACCATAGAACCAAGCTGACATTATTCAGTGTTAGATTATCCTTTTCCAATAAATATACGGCTGGTGTCAACTAAGTAAGCATGGTGATTAACTCTTTAAATCAATTGAAGAAAACCTTGACATTTTGGATTTCAAATGAACATGTGTTTCTTTTTAAAACCAAAAATATCTTAAGACAAAATATTGGATCCTAATACATACATCAACAACGTGAGTGATTTTCCTCAGCTTCTCTCAATGGCATTTTAGATGACAAAGAAAGCTTCTGTTGGAAGCCCAAGCACCCTGAAATGCCAGCGAGGGTTGGGGACCCTCCAGACCCAGGATGCCATGGAACACGAGTCTGCAATAAGGAGAGGAAATTCCCCCCCCCCCAACCTAAGTGTGATTTGCATGTTTTTAACACAAGATAAAAAGAGTTATTTCTCTTCTTGTTGCAGCCCTCCTTTGTGCTACATAGCTAAGGAAATGCCTCAGCAATGGCTTTTCGGGAGCACAAAAAAGTGATCCTGAGCAAAATTATTCTCTCTGCCTCCTTGTTTACATATCTGGCAGACTCTCATCCGACCCTACCATTTAGTCTCTCCCACCTTTTGTTCCTACAAAGTATCTGTTCCATTGTTTCCTTGGCCCTGAGTCATTCTATAAACATGGGACCACTTTTGCCATTACTACTATTGAACAGAATTCTGCTCTGTCTGAACTACCCAAACAGTACATAAGATGAGCCTGGCTGGATCAGACCATAGGTCAATCTTATTCAGCATGCTGCTTCCCACAGTAGCCTAGGAAGGCCTGTATGCAGGGCAAGAAAACAACAGTTCTTCCCCAGTCTCACCCCCCGGCAATGATACTGAGTACAATCTAGCCTCTGATGTTATAAAAGAGCAATTATGCAAATATACTGTATGTATGTGATTGCACTATTATGGTACACATCACAATACAGGAATACATACAGGAATATACACGAATAACCTCACCCTAATTATTTCAATATTCATTAATCAATTTAATTATATTAAGGCTGC